TCTCTATTTCCAGCTACTTGGGAGGCTGAGGTGGGAGGATTGCTTGAGCCCAGGAGGTCAAGGCTGCATGATTGTGCCACTCACTGCACTCCAGCTTGGCTGACAGGGCAAGACCCTGTCTCAAAAATAACTTAAAAAAAAATAATAAAACAACCTTAAAAAAAGGTATTTTCTCTAGTTAGTCTTTTATTTCTTAACCCGAATTCAGAGAATTTCAAGGTAAGAAGGGATTTTTGGTGGCATTAAGCAAATGACTACATATTTTGATTTAGCAAATGTTTTTGGAGCACCCATTCATTCAAAGCCCTCTCAACTCCCACTGCAATGAGACACGGAATAGGTGTGAGCTACCGCGCCCAGCCGTGGTCTCTGTGGTCTCATCCTGAGGGAAGAGGATGGAATTTGAGGCTGTGGTTCTGTGAAGAAGTGACCCCATTTTCATTAGTTCTGGGCACGCATTGTCCTATTTACATCTCATCTCAGGGCGCACCTGCTCAGGGGCGCAGACTCTACAGGGTGGCTAAGGCCATCCTTGCTCTTCTCATCAGGTCCCTTTCCACCCTAAGGGGACGTGGCTGCTGTAGGGGGGCAGTGCCCAGTGGTGCCTGTGGGGAATGGCTTGGCTTCGAGGAGGATGGATGGGGGTGACATGGGGAGGAAACCTGACAGGCTGGGTGTCGGGGGATGGATTTGGTCAGCAGAGTTCCAAGCACAGAAGATGAGCGGTCCCAGCTGTGTCTGAGCAGGGTGGGAGGCCCGCTGTTCCCGATGGACCAGCTCATGCAGCAGCCATGGTGACCTGGGCCTCTGCGCCCCCCTCCCTGAGAACTGTGGGGCTGCAGGCTCACCTCTGCTACCTCCTCGGGGAAACACTTCTAAGTCAGAAAACGTGAGGCTGGAGTTAAGGACCCGCTAAAATGACCAGCTGGGGTTTGCTTTGTTCTTTGTTCTTGCCCCTTCAGGTGCAAGATATCGTCAAGCCAAACACAGCGCATACATTCATCATAACGGGAAGGAAAAGGTCCCTGGAGCTGCAGACGCGGTATGGAACGGGCTGTTTCTAGTGAATGTCTTTGACCTCATGTCTTCTTTTTCTAAACTGGATAACCTGCAATATATTTTTATTTATGTATGGCTTAAAATTTAACAGTACTGTTACCCAAACACCAGGGTGCCGTCTAGGTCCTGCTGCGTGCTGCACAGAAAGCCCATCACTGAGATGATTATTGCCGAGGAAGAAGCTTTAATCGGCCAAGGAGATGGGAACTCAGTCTCAAATCCATCTCCCTGACCAACTAAAACTAGGGGCACATACAGCAGGGAAGAAATGTAACAATGTGTAAGAAAACAGGAACTAGTGGGGGCAAGGAAGCAATCATGATGGATAAAGGGTCTGGGCATCTCATTGTCTGGATGTGGTGACCTGGTGAGTTTCAGTCCCTTGATGGTTTTTTTGAGAGGCCTTAAGGTTACTGAGGAAGGAACTCAGATAAAACAAATGTTAACTTTCAAGCTTGAAGACTGGAAGGATCAATTTGTATGTTTATCGGAAAAACTATCTATAGGATGATCAGGGCCCTTTCAGTACCAAGGGAAGTTGATGAAAATTAAGCCTCTGCCCACCTCCTGTTCAGCAGGCCCAGCACATTCTTAGTCCTCTCTTGAGTATTCTTCTAGGATTTTCTTTTCTTTCTTTTTTTTTTGAGACAGAGTTTCGCTCTTGTTGCCCAGGCTGGAATGCAGTGGCGCAATTTCAGTTCACGGCAACCTCTGCCTCCCAGGTTTAAGTGATTCTCCTGCCTCAGCCTCCTGGGTAGCTGGGATTACAGGCGCCCGTCACCACACCTGGCTAATTTCTTGTTTGAGTGAAACCCCAACGGGGTTTCACCATGTTGGCCAGGCTGGTCTCGCACTCTTGACCTCAGGTGATCCACCCCCCGACTTGGGCTCCCAAAGTGCTGGGATTACAGGTGTTAGCCACTGCGCCTGGCCCCTTCTAGGATTTTCTATGTACATGCACCTGTATCTACGTTTTAAATCACAGATGGCTGTTTATACCTGTCCTGCATCTTGCTTTTTCACTTAATTTGTCAAGAATCATCCCATATCTGCACAGCATTCCTAAAGCAACATAATTTTCCATTAATGATCATTAGCTAGTTCCCACTGACGAGGACCTGGGCTCCTCCTGAACCTGGCCATCACAAATGGTGCCGCAAGCAGTGTCCTTCTTTTTAGGTGTTTCTGCATATGTGTAGTTGTAGCCATCAGAGAGATTGCTGACGTAGAATTGCTGGTCACAGGGTAGTGCATCTGTTTGAAATTTTGGTGGCTGTTGTCACACTACCCTTTAAGGTGATGTCAGGCTGTGCTCTGACTAGCCATATATGGGAATTCTGTTCTCCCACAGCCCACCAACAGTGGGATCTTCATAATGACCCATTATGGTCCAAGGAAGCATTGAATTACAGCCACTGCAGAGGACTCCACGTGGCTCACCTGGCCCCACCAGGCCACAAGTGTTTTGAGGCCCTTGGGGACAATCTTCCCATCCTTGAGCTGCGTTGACAAGCCAGTGCGTGGCTCGGGTGTGCTGCAGGGCTGAGAGAGGGCTGGTCATTTAGAGTCAGTATCCAAGACTGGATTAATACAAGACTGTTTTGGTTTTTTAGGACAGAGGAAGAGAAGAAAGAATGGATTCAGGTGAAGCTTCTAAACTTGTAAAGTAACCAAACGACCAAGTGATTGAGCAGTAAGGCCATTTATGTTGGGACAGAGGGTGGGGGCCCTGGCCTCCGGGACTGCTGGCCCTGTGCTGCACCCTGCAGGGATGCAGTGACCACACTGTGCCTTCATAAGCACCTTCAGATGTCACAGGCCTTTCAACCCATTCATTTGTTTGAGGGCCCCCAAATAAACATGAACAGGCCTGGTGGAGTCACAGGCCAGGTTCCCCGCTCAGGGTGGATCTCCTCAATCTGGACAGCTCGAAGGGGAGACCACATCATTGGTAGCAGGGAAAGGAGATGGCCAGTGGCCTGGGCATTGTTCCGGGAACGCCAGGGAACGTCCTTCCTGCGGGTAGCGTCCTCCCACACCCCTTGATGGTCCTCCCTGTTGTGTTGCTGTGTCCAGATCATCCAGGCCACCATCGAGAAGCACAAGCAGAACAGTGAGACCTTCAAGGCTTTCGGTGGCGCCTTCAGCCAGGATGAGGACTCCAGCCTCTCTCCAGACATGCCTGTGAGTCAGTGGCCCAGGGCGCAGAGGGGCCTCCAGGAGACAGGCTGCCTGCGGAGAGCAGAAGGCACTGGCGTCTGGGTGGACAGCCCGACCTCCAGGCTTTCCTCCTGCTGTACCAGGGACCAGGACAGCGGGCGCTCTCTTGCGTTAAAAGAAAAACTTCAGACAAATTAAATGTAACAATTTAATTGAGCAAACAACTATTCGTGGATGGGACAGCACCGCCCCCTACAACCCTTGAGACCAGAATAGGTCCAGAGAGCCTCCTCTGCTGCTGTGTGGTCGGAGAGGATGTATGGACAGAAAAGGGAAAGTGAAGCCCCGAAGCAGCTGGGTTGGTTACAGCTCCGCGTTTGCCGTGTTTGACATGGTTTGAAGCGTCGGCCACCTTTCCATGGCAGCTTTAGATTGAACTTAATTTCACCCCTACCCACCCTCCACTAAGTGCCCGCTGCAGCCTGCTGGGCCCCAGGCCCGTGGTCAGCGCCCAGGTGGGCGGGAAAGCAGGATGTGGCCGTGGAGGAAGTGCTCCCACGTGACCTGTTTGGTTGTCTGGTGCCTTCTGCACAGCATCCTATGCACCAAGGAATGTTACGTCATCCCCGTGAAAACTGAGTCTCAGAGAAGCTCGGTGACATGGGTTGTGGACCCGGCGTCACAGGGCTGTGGTGCACTGCCCACATACCACTCTGGCCCAGGACGGCCCATGACTGCAGACACCTTTCTGTGACTGTATTTTCCCCCCAGTGCCCCCGTGCCCTGGGAGATGGTGGCTCAGAGCCCCTTGGGGGAAGCAGTAGGAGCATCTCACTCCCCATCCTCATGTGGAGCTGCCCCAAGGGCCCAGGGGGATTTCATGTGGAGACTTAGGCTGGGAAAGAGGCAGGGCTACAGGGTCCTTGCCGGGAAGCCTGGCCAGGGAGTCAGGGCTGCAGCCCCAGGACCAAGCCTCGGCCATTTCTCCCCGCAGGGCTTCCCTGGAGTCAGGGAGAGAGGATTGGGTGAGGAGGCTGATGTCTGCCCACTGCAAGGAAGGCCCTGGAGCCACTGACCCTGGACAAGGCATAGGGGTTGGAACTGTAGCAAGGACACATCCGGGGAGGCACCCAGGAGAGACGGTGCCCTGAGCCCTACGCCAGGCCCTCTGCTCCAGCCTTCACGGGGGTACCGGGCATGACTCAGAGTTAGGGTGCCCCAACTCTCGCCGCCTGACCCAGACCCCGCAGGCCCGAATCCCAACTCCAGGCTGGCTGTGCCCTCTGTACCACCTCCGTGGGTCTGCCTGGCACAGCCCACCTCCCCCATATCCACTTCATATTTGTATCAAGTCTACTAGGTTTTTTCTGCTTTCTGCATTCACTTTGTAAGAACTTTGCATCATCCAGAAAGGAACAGTCCTGGGACTGCCTTGAGTGGAGGTGACCTGGGAATGTGAGACACTGAGCCTGGCTGTCCTTAAAGCTGGCCAAGCCCTTTCTGTCCAGAGGCTGAGCCCAGAGCCTCACTTTGCTGAGAAAGTGGGGGCTGCAGAGACTCTCCACAAAGAGCCCTGCTGGAGGATGAGAGAGAACCCAAAGGGACCCTCCTCACTGGGTGACTTGGTGTGAATTAGAGCCCCTGATCAGGGTGGGCCAAAGGGAGGCGTCACCCACCAGCCACCCACCACACTGGCAGATGCTCCTAGGAGAGGCCTCCAGCTCAGGCCAGGCCCAGGGAGGAAGCAGCTTCCCCAAAGGCACAGCAAACCCTAGGCCTGGGAATTCCTGCTCCTGAGCCTGCCCTCAATGCACGGGGGTGGTGGGGGCTTCAGGAACTGTCCCCGTTGCACAGGGGCTGCATGGCCCTGGAATCTCCTCTCACTCGGCCTCTGTGTCCCTTCCAGATCACGAGCACCAGCCCTCTGGAGTCTGTGGTGACCACCGAAGGCGGTTCAGGTGCAGCAGGGGTAAGTGCCATATGCTCAGCGATCAGCAGGGGTGAGAGGCGGAGCAGGGGGTCAGACCAGGATGACCTGTAGGGAAGATGGAGAGAGAGGGTCGGACCGGGGCCTCCTAGAGGCTGAGGACTGAGGGGCTAGCCTGTCCTGCTCACTGTGCCTGGGGGCCTGGGTGTGTGGAGGTAAAGCCATGTCTGAGTCCAGGCTCTGATGACTTGTGTGGTCACTGCAGAGGACTCTGTGAGGCAGGCACGCGGAGGCCTGTCAATGTGGGGATGTCCATTACCTAGTTGGAGGTGGTCACACATGTGAGAATCCTCTGAGCTCCAGGTGAACATTTCTGCTCCTAACATGTGTGAATCGTCCCATAAAGCGTGTATTGACAGTGCAAGGTCCTCAGGAGGCTCAGTAACGCAGAGGACTGCTTAGTCCTTCACCCCAAGCTGCGGCCAGGGAGGCCTGAGCCTCCCTGCCTCTCCCCGTCTGTGTTCTCTTGTGCCTTATGGCAGCCAGCCCACAAGGGTGCTGCTCCGGCCAGGCAGGCTGTGTCCACGCACCCGCCTGCCAGGGGATGTGCTGTAGGAACTGGGATGAGGCCTGCCTCCTCCATTTAATCCGGGAAGTTAAAGAGGATGAGGGCCAAGAGCATCTGTACCTGGAGCCATCATCATTGGCGCCCAGGCCTGGCACTCACCAATGCTGACAGCAACATCACCCTGGAGCACCCCATGTGGCTGCTGCACCCAGATGCGGGAGGGCGATTCTCCAGGCGCTTCGCCTCCCCCTATGCTGTGCAGGCTCAGGAATGACGTGGCCCCAGATGGCTGCCCTAGCCCCACCCCAGACAGGCGTCTGTCCAAGTGGGCTGGCCGCTGGCCGCCGCCTCCCATGACCTGAACTTTACCAGGCCCCACCCGTCGTGATCTGGGCTGGCCCGGCGTTGGGAAACCATGAAGAAACTCAGGAGGCCTCGGGAAGGATGTAGTGCTTCAGAGGCACAATGGAGTGCGCAGGCGTGGGGGGACTTCCAAATACATCCCAACAGGCAAGAGGAGAGACCCCCAGATTCACAAAGCACAGCCACCTGGCCTCTGCAGAGCAGACAGGCACCCTGCAGGGACATCTTATTAACACTAAAATGAGGAAGTCTGACAGCCTGCGGGGAAGTGGTCCCCTGGCCTCCTAGGAGAAAATCTCCTCTCACTTGTCTCTCCTTCTGTCTGGCCTCACCCCGCTTCCTGGCCACCCTCCCTGGAGATGCCCTGGGCTCCCCTTGCCCTGCCAGGCCCCAGGGACTTGACATCTGCTGTTTGCTCTGTCCAAGTCTATGAAGCCCCGTAGCCTGCCCCAGGGGTCCCTGATAAAAATGTCTCAGTGACAGGAGTCTGCCCATCAGCAACTTGTTTTTTTTTGAGACGGCGTCTCACTCTGTTGCCCAGGCTGGAGTGCAGTGGCGTGATCTCAGCTCACTTCAAGCTCTGCCTCCCGGCTTCACACACCATTCCCCTGCCTCAGCCTCCTGTAGTAGCTGGGACTACAGGCGCCTGCCACCACGCCCAGCTAATTTTTTGTATATATATATATATTTTTTTTCAGTAGAGATGGGGTTTCACCGTGTTAGCCAGGCTGGTCTCGATCTCCTGACCTCGTAATCTGCCCTCCTTGACCTCCCAAAGTGCTGGGATTACAGGTGTGAGCCACTGCACCCAGCCTTTTTTTTTTTTTTTTGAGACGAAGTGTCACTGTGTCACCCAGGCTGGAGTGGTGCAGTGGCACAATCTCGGCTCACAGCAACCTCCACTTCCCAGGTCCAAGCAATCCTCCTGCCTCAGCCTCCCGAGTAGCTGGGACTACAGGCGCCGCCACCACACTCAGCTAATTTTTTATATTTTTAGTAGAGACGGGGTTTCACCTTGTTGGCCAGGATGGTCTCAATTTCTTGACCTCATGATCTGCCCACCTCAGCTGGGATTACAGGCGAGAGCCACCACGCCCGGCCTATGACGGGAATCCGCCCATCAGCAACTTTTCGTATCGCCAGCAGTAAGTGAGAGGCTGGCTGTGCCCCAGACTCACAGAGCTCTTCAGTCCCTTTTCTGGAGCAGTAAGGAAAGTTACGAAAAGCAATGTGTCCTCATGGTGTGAGTGCAGCCACAGAAGCGTGAGCTGCCCACAGTGGACACGCAATCACAGGGTCACAGTGGGGACGTGACAGCCCACACCCGTGTGTATGAGGCACTGCCTGATCAGCCCCACTGCCTGGCATCCCACAGCCAAGGCAGGCATCCCCGACAGTTTCCATGGTGACGTCCTGGCACAGAGCACTGCCTCCCACACATACAGCTCACGTAAGGAGTGAGCTGGGCTGGCCTCCGCTCGATGACCCTCCATGTCCAGCCCCAGGCCCTGGGTCAGGCTTATGGAGGCATCCGTGGTCACAGTCCCGCCGCAGAGGCATCAAGACTCAGTGAGAGCCACCTGTCCTTTGTGAGTGCGTCTGTCCTGTGTGTGAGCCCGCAGGCCCTGGAGAGGCACCTTCAGTGTCTTGGGGAGGCAAGGAAGCAGAAGTGGGTGGAGGCCACGTGCTGCGGGAGGCCCTGGGTGGGCAGGACCTGGGTGGGCTGTAGAAACAGCAGGAGCCCGGGCCTGGCTGAGGGGATCCACACAGGGTGTCTGAGTGTGGTCCTGGGGAGTCGAACCCCGGGTTGGTGCCTGGACAGGAGAATGTTCTAGCTGGAAGAACCTGCGAGGCCATGGTTTAAAATGTTTTCACTTGTGGGAAGACACGGCTTGGAGATGGCCTTGGAGCAGGGCTTTGAGGCGCTGCTGGCCACACAGGCAATGCCCCTATTGGTCCCCTGCTTCCATCACAGGCGAGAAGGCAACTGGGGCTCGGGGCCTCAGTCAGTGTCCGGGCATCTGCTGGACCAGGCTGTGGCCAGCAGACCCGCTGTGCCTCCATGGGTGCGCCCAGCTAGGTGGACAGTGCCGCCTGCCCCACTCCCTGTACTTCCCCTGGCTCAGGGCCCAGCTGCCTCAGGTTCTGCAGCAGCCCAGGGAGCCGGGTGCTCAGGGCCACAATTCCAGTTCCAGTCTCTTGTCTCTGTCCCTTACCCACACCAAGCCAGGGCTGGGCCCACGACAGACCACCAAACAACAGACCTCGGCTCCAGCCCAGGGCCCCACGGCGTCCCTACCCCCAGTGGATGTGGCCTGACCTGGCCGTGTGTTCCTCACTGGTGGCTTCCTGTGAGCAAAAACAGCAGAGTTGAGACTGTGGTGGGAGCTGGGACAGCTCAGTGTCGGCGTCGAGCTGCACAGGGTGAATGTGGTGTGATGGAGGTGAGCTCAGTGTGCATTTTACAAAGCACTCAAAAGCAAGTTCATCCTCTTATCCACAACAGTGATTTTTGCTACAGTATACCAAACTTAAACTTACTTCCTGAGCCCAATTTCTTCAGTGGTATAGTCCCTGTAAGCCCCTTTCCTAAGAGAAGCTACGCCCAAGCCAGGAAGTTTTGCAAGGGGCCTTGCAGAATTCAAAGGCTTCCCTGATGGGCAAGCATCGAGTTGCTCTTAACAGAAACACAAAATGTCAGAATCCGGAAGGTCTCTCAGGGTCTCAGACCCACCGTGGGTGACACATGAACCCCTCCAAGGTGCCAGCGAGGCATCAGAGGGCACCCTCGACAGGGCAGTGCCAGGGCCTCTTCTCAGGCACTGCTCCTTCTCAGGCACTGCCCCTCCTGGGACGAGGCCGCACCCTGTGTCTACCCTCGGGGCTCCAGGGCAAGGCTGTCACGAGGGGCATGGCCTCAGGCCTCAGCCCAGCCACCCTCCTGTCGGAACAGCCTGTGCCCCACAGCCCGTGTCCCCTGCTGGGTCATTTCTAGTATCTGATGACACTGACTTGTTTTCATCAGGGCCACTTACTGGGCTCCAGTTCTATGTAACTCAGCTGTGCCCCGCCGTTCCTGGATGTGCAGCTCAATTTGCTCAAGAAAAATTGCTGGAGGGGGCAGCCCTGTTGACCCTTGGTGGAGACCACTTTCTGGGTTAACGCTGGTGTGTTTTGGGCGCTTTGCGGGTGAAGTCACTCGGTCAGATACTGAGGAAGCCACAGTTCTCCATCTTCCTGGAGAGACTTGGGCCCAGCTTTTCTGATATCCTGACATCCACAACGAAAACCTGAGCTCCCTTCTTTGGGTCAACCTGCGTGGTAACTTCATCCACAAAGGGGCGTGTGCACGGCCGAGAGACCATCCCTGGCTGCTCAGGTGGGCCTCTTGCCCCTCAGCCACTGGGTCATGCCTGCAGATTCTGCCACACCTTGATGACGGGAGCTGGAGGGTTGGCCTTGGTGGGCTGCGGGCCTCAGCTCCATGGGAGCTGGTGCAGGGCCAGGACCCACCCCGAGTGCTCAGCTCAGCTCCATAGCTGAGAAGAATTGCCAGATAAAGAAAGCCAGTGGGACTCCCGGCACTGCCCCAATTCTGGAAGCCACACTCGCTGCTTCCAGAATTGTCATCTGTCCCTTCACTGGGACCTGGTCCCCGCTGGTCTTCAGAGGCCAAGCTCTTGCTGTGCACCCAGCCCCGCAGGTACCTGTCCTCCTACATGGCTGTTCTTCGCTCCTCCAGCCCCTGCTGCCCCCTGCCCCATGGGCATGCCGTGTGCTATTCTCAGCTGCTATGCAGTGCTGCCCCTGGGTGCCGTGGCAGGGGTCCCCCTTCTGGGGTCCTCATGAGCAGGCAGTTCTGGGCTGAGGTGCACATCGGGGCCGCCCTTCCACCAATCCCAGCCTCTCTGGGTGCCCACCTGGAGAACAGGTTTTCACTACCAGGTCAGTGATGCCCATTCCCCGCCTAGTGTGCTTGGAGCCCCCACTGGGGTCTTGAGCATAAGAAAAACGGCAGAAGAAGCCGAGGCCGCCTCACCCGTGTCTTTGGCACAAGGCCCATTCATCAGAGGTGCTGGGGGCTGCAGCACAGTGAGTGAGCGTCCCTGTCACCCTCAAAGGAGCCAGCCCTGCCCTTGGGCTCCTGTGCCAAACCAGCTGGGCGCTTGGGGGACCTGCAGGTGGGCCAGTGAAGGGGGACCACAGACCAGGCCACACAGCTGGAAGTGCCCGGCCAGAATGTGCCCGGAGGCACTGGTGTCCGTGTTTTGGCTGCCAGAACAAAATACTACCTGAGGCTGAAGTCTGAGATCAAGGTGTGGGCAGGGCTGGTTTCTCCTGAGGCCTCTCCTTGGCTTGGAGATGTCAGTTTCCTCCCTGTGTCCACACACGGTCTTCTCTCTGTGTCTCTGTGTCCTCATCTCTTCTTATAAAGACACCAGTAAGATTGAATCAGGGCCCAACCGAAGACCTCATTTTAACTTAATGTCTCTTTAAACACCCTGTCTCCAAATATAGTCACATTTTCAGAGATACTGGGAATTAAATTTTCAACATATGAATCCGGGGGGACACAGTTCAGCCCATCCCAGCCTCCAATGCTTATGCCCAATCTGAGCCACCTCTTTCTTGCTTCTTCACCCCCAACCAGTTCAGTTCATCTTTTTCTTTCTTTCTTTTTTTTTTTTTTTATTTTTTGAGTTGGGATGTCATGTCCTCCAGGCTGGAGTGTTGTGGTGTGATCACAACTCACTGTAGCCTCAACCTCCCGGGCTCAAGTGATCCTCCCACCTAAGCCCCCCACATATCTGGGACTGCAGGCACGTGCCACCACGGCAGCTAATTTTTTGAATTTTTGTTGAGACACAGGGTCTCACTATGTTGCCCAGATTGGTCTCGAACTTCTGGCCTCAAGCAGCCCTCCCGCCTCCCAAAGTGCTGGAATTACGTGCGCAAGCCACGGCGCCTGGCCCTTTCTCCTTGAACCTGAAGAGTTTCTGTTAAACTTTTTTTAAGTGTATGTTTTTCAGCGTTTTCCTATGGCAGTTTTGGACCCACACAAGTGGGGATAACTGCAGTGAGCGTCCCTCCCCAGCTCCAGACACCTCAGCCTGGTGCTGTTCTTACGGCCCCTCGGCCCCCAGCCCCGCCACACACACACACACACACACACACACACACACACACACACACACACTTCTGTTTACTGTAATTTTTTTTTTTTTTTTTTTTTTTTTTGAGACGGAGTCTCACTCTATCGCCCAGGCTGGAGTGCAGTGGCTGGATCTCAGCTCACTGCAAGTTCTGCCCCCCGGGTTCACGCTATTCTCCTGCCTCAGCCTCCCGAGTAGCTGGGACTACAGGCGCCCGCCACCGCGCCCGGCTAGTTTTTTGTATTTTTTAGTAGAGACGGGGTTTCACCGTGTGAGCCAGGATGGTCTCGATCTCCTGACCTCGTGATCCGCCCGTCTCGGCCTCCCAAAGTGCTGGGATTACAGGCGTGAGCCACCGCGCCCGGCCTTCTGTTTACTGTAATATTTTAAAGCCTATCCCAGACCTGTTTTTATTCTGTGCAGCTATACTAATGGTTAGCTTATTTTAGGTAATTTTCTTTTAAACAGAAAAAAAAAAAAAGAAAAGAAAGAAAAACACCACCTGCGGGCTTCAGTTTCCCTGACTGGAGAGGCTGAGATAAACATTTCTAGGGGCAGCTCCAGCTCTGACATCCTGGGGAACGGGAGACATAGCTTTGCCTTTTCCTAAAGTCTTCTTAAGGGTGTTTTCTGCGCCCATAACAAAGTATCTCAAGGGAGGCGCCTCCTCCCCAGAGAGGAAATGCTGGGTGTGGACCAAGCTTCAAAAGCCCAGGAAGTTATTTCATCAAATGATGAGGCCTTTCCAGGGCTGCAGGCTATAACATGAAAGGGTAATTAGCTTCACCGGGGCCTATTGTGGGGTGGGGGGAGCGGGGAGGGATAGCATTAGGAGATATACCTAATGTAAATGATGAGTTAATGGGTGCAGCACACCAACATGGCACATGTCTACATATGTAACAAACCTGCACCTGCACATTGTGCACATGTACCCTAGAACTTAAAAAGTATAAAAAAAAAAAATTCACAAGTTGAAAAAAAAAAAAAAAAGAAAGGGTAATTAGCCACTTGCCAAAGTGGCGGTTTTATGTACTGTGATGAGGCTTAGGGCCCAGGGACCAGTCACTCATCCCATTTTACAGGTGAGGAAACTGAGGCTTAGAAAGGAGAGGTGAGTCATCCAGGGTCTCATGGCTGACAGGAGGCAGGAGCCTGGGGTCTCTCCACCTTGCACGGTTCATAATCAGACAGGGAAACCAAGGCTGGGCTGGGCAGCCCCAGGATACACCTGCTGCAGCCTCCACACCACCTTCTTCTATAGGCAGTTCAGGCAACAGGAGACAGAGGGAGGTACAGCTCTTCATGGCTTCCTCACATGTCCTCCCAGATGTTTTTTTTGAGTCTCGCTCTGTTGCCCAGGCTGGAGAGCAATGGTGCGACCTTGGCTCACTGCATCACTGCAACCTCCGCCTCCTGGGTTGAAGCGATTCTCCTGCCTCAGCCTCCCGAGTAGCTGGAATTACAGGCACGCACTACCACTGCCACTACCACACCCGGCTATATTTTTGTATTTTTTTTTAGTAGAGACGGGGTTTCACCATGTTGGCCAGGCTGGTCTCAAACTCCTGACCTCAAGTGATCTGCCCGCCTCAGCCTCCCAAAGTGCTGGGATTACAGGTGTGAGCCACTGCCTCCAGCCTCCCCCTAAAATGTTGCCATGCTTGTCTGCACACTCAGGCATGTGGGTGTACACCTATATTCATCCATGTGGCGTGCCTGGAGGGTGTGGCCCCCCGGTGCCCAGCATAGAGCAGGCATGTGGCCACATGGCTCAGGTTGCGGGCAGGGGTGCCTCCGTCCCCAAGGCTGCAGGCCGTGGCTGTGCTGCCCACTGCCCACCCTAGTAAGCGCTGTGTTCCTCCAGCTGTGGCTCCTTTCAATAGTTTTTCAGATGCACCAGATAAAGTCATTGGCCAGGTTGTTCCAAACATGAAGATCTTGACCCACTTACAATCTTTACTCGGTGCAATGGGCACAGGCAGCCGCTTGGGGGGTGAGGGAGGGAAGAGAGACGGGGCCGACTTGGCTCTTCACTTCATTCCCTTCTGCATGTTCCACTTTTGCCTTGAGCCTGTGTGGCTTTTACAGTCACGAGAGCTGCCACTCCACTGCCGTGTGGGGTAGGGTGCACACGTGACTCGGAAGCTGATGGCATCTATTTGCCTCCTTGTAGCTCGAGCCCAGAAAACTCTCCTCTAAGACCAGACGTGACAAGGAGAAGCACAGCTGTAAGAGCTGTGGCGAGACCTTCAACTCCATCACGAAGAGGAGGCACCACTGCAAGCTATGCGGGGCGGTGAGTCCCAGGAGAGGGGGACAGGGACAGGAGGCCACCCTGCTCGGACAGAGCAGCTGAGTCCTCACCAGCAGCACACCAGCCCTGCACAGAAGAGCTTCCTGATCCTGGCTCATGGATATAGATGCCCTTGAGTGCAAAACTGTCCTGTCCAAAGTAGAATCTGATCACTTTTCTCTGGTCAGCTCTGGTGTTCAACAAACACTCCTTGTGGTTGGAAAAGTGCTGGATTGGGAACCACAGAACGCCTAGCTGGGTGAGCTTGAGAACAAGGAGATGATAGTCCTCATTCCTTGCAAGGTGTATTGGAGATGGGTGAAGGGTGTGGCTGTGCTGGGAGCTTTGCCCCAGCGCTCCAGTGGTGCTGAAGGCCTGGTGGGCCCATGTGATGAGGCAGTGCCTCCGACTGGCACCCGAGCTGCACACCATCTCCATTCCCCTCACTCCAAAGCCCTTTCTCCTGAGAGTGGAGAAAATTCAATGCTTAATATTGAATGTAAAAGTATCCCTGAGGAAGGAACTGATGATTTAAGTATCTTTAGGTTAAGAGGTTAAAGTTGAATCTATGTCAGCAACTGGATCTCAACACAGAATTCTTTGGTGTTTTTCCAAAGGGCGCCAGCAACTTGTGCCTGAAGCAGTTGGTGTTACTTGTCATACCTTTGCCACATGGCGGGAGGCAGCAGGGGGAGGGGAATAAGTGGATGAGTCCTTGGAAGGATGGATGATGGATGGATAGGTGGGTAGAAGGATGGATGAATGGATGAGTGGATGGAGAGGTGGGTGAATGGATAGGTGGGTGGATGGATGGATGGATGGATGGATGGATGGATGGGGAGATGGATGGAGGGATGGATGGATAGGTGGGTAGTTAGATAAATGGCATATGGAAGTGTGAATGGAAGTGGATATATAGGAAGTATAAATGGATGACTAGAGAATTGATGGATGGATGGATGAATAGACAAATAGTTGGATGGCATACAGAAGTATGGATGGATGGATGAAGGATAGATGGTAGAGGATGGATAGATGAATGGTTGGATGGATGGATGGATGGATGAGTGGATAATGAATGGGTGGGTGGAGGGATGGATGGGTGGATGAAGGGATGATGGATGGATGGATGATGGATGGATGAATGGATGGTAGAGGATGGATGGGCAGGTAAGTGCGAAATGTGATCTGTACCTCTTAAAGAACTCTCAGTTTGGGGCCCAGTTTATACTCCAGAATTGGGGGATTTAACTTAAACCTGGTTTCCCCATCAGACCTGAGGGGAATCTGTTGCTTTAAGAGCCATCCTCAGAATATGTGCCCAGGCCCCTGCTCAGCTCTAGGCCTCAGGCTTTGTGACCACTCAGGATCAGAAGCTGCAGCCTCTGTTAATCTTCTTTGGAGTGAGCGTCCTCATGGCCAACCTGGACTTCCCCGCACAGCAGAGGTGGCTCGGTGCCCTCACTGACGTCACTGCATCTCCATGTCAGCCTGCTGGGGCTTAGCTTTCATTGCCTTGGTGTGCCCAGTATTCCTGCTTCCTCACACAAGAAGTGATAGAGAAAAGATAAATTCCAAAAATAAATAAAATCCTCGTAAAAGTAGGACTCCAGAACAGGGTGCCTTCCATCTACTTAAAAAGCGCAATTTCCCCGCTGCTGTGGCTCCTGAGACCTTCGATATGAGCTCGGTGTTTGAGTGCCGTGGTCCCTTAGCAGCCGGTGCCCGCAGGTTTAGGTTCAAACTAGAATTTCCCAAGGTTTGAACAAGGATCTCCAAGTCCTCTGCAATATTCGGTACACGGGACAGGATGGAACAGGAGAAGCAGATGCAGAAGTGGGTGTGGGTGGCCCTGAGGCACCAGGAGCCTCTGTGTGCTGGGAAAAGGATCCAGCAGAGGGAGGGAGACCGAGGCAGAGAGAGACAGGACCACCGACGGGACGCAGCTGGAGGGGCCAGAGGAGGGGGGACAAGGGGGCCTGCCAGGAGTGTCCAGGGTAGGAAAAGCTCTGGAAAAGTCACTGAGGAGCACTCCTTGGCTACATCCCCATGCTCCACCTATGCATCTGAGTCACATGCCACTGTACAAACAGACCATGACGACTTCATCCATTCATCTGCCAGTGGACACGGGCTGCTTCCAGCTTTTGGCTATTGTGAATAACGCTGCTATGGACATGAATGTACAAACATCCCTTCAGATCCTCCTTTCAGTTCTTTTGGGTACATGCCCCGAGTGGAACTGTTGCATCGTATGGTAACTCTGTGTTTAACTCTGTGGGAAGCAGAGGAGCCACCCTACTGCTTCCCACAGAGGCTGCGCCAGTTTGCTTCCCACCAATAGTGCAAGGATTCCGATCTCTCCACATCGTGCCAACACTATTTTCTTTTCGTTGCTGTTGTTGTCATTGTTGGTCTGGAAGATAGCCGTGCTGAGGGGTGAGAGGTGGTTTCTGGTTGTGAATTTTATTTGCATTTCCCTGATGGCCAGTGATGGGGTGTCTTCCCGTGTGCTTGGCGGCTCTTCCCACTCTTCCTCCCATGCACACAGACTCCTGGACTCTGGACCCTCCAGGACAGGAGGGTGGATACCAGATGCCCAGCAGGGTCAGCCTTGCTCTCTGCCCTCAGACAGGATTCCCCCCTTCACGTCAAGGAGAAGCCCTTACGCCTCCCCACACTGTTAAGTCTCCTCCCGCCCACTCCACCTCTCCTCTGGCCTCTTCCTGGATAATCCTCTGCCCCAGGGTGCTGGGGTCACAGGTGCCCTCTGTTTGGCAGGTCATCTGTGGGAAGTGCTCCGAGTTCAAGGCCGAGAACAGCCGGCAGAGCCGCGTCTGCAGAGAGTGCTTCCTGACACAGCCAGTGGCCCCCGAGATCCCCAGCCCCGAGGCTCCGGCCGAGCCCAAGCAGAGCACAGAGGTGGGTGCTCCCAGCTCCTGCTCCCCTCCTGGCAGTGTGGCAGAGCCTCCAGACACCTGCTTCTGTGCCCCAGCAGCTCCAGCTGCCTCTGCTTTCGGGTGTCCCTGGGGCCAGGACAGATGTGGGTGTGTCTCAATGGGGCCCCCAGGCTGGGAACACACTTGGAAGATCCCGTGTGTGCACACTGGCTTCTCGGGACCAGCCAGGGCCAAGGTTTGGGAACCATTTGCATCCAGGAGTTAGATGGGAACAAGTGTCACTCCTGGTCACCTGGTTGGAGGGCATGGATTGAAGCTGCCCTCAAGTCCAGGCCTTGAGGCCCATCTGAGGGTAGACACTGCCCTTGTCTCGGCCTGCCTCACCTCCAGCTGTCAGAGGGTGAGCAGGGCCCTGGAGGCAGGCGCCCCCTCCTCCTCCTCCCGCTCCCCTTCTCCTCCTCCTCTTCCCCCTCCTTCCTTTCCCTCTGCCTCCCTGTCTTTCTCCTTCTCCTCTCCCTCCTCCTCCTGCTCCCTCTCCTCCTCCCCATCTTCTTCTCCCCCCCACTGCTCTCCTTCTCTTCCTCTGTTCCTCCTCCCCTCCTCTTTCTGAGAGTGGCTGCTGCTTTCCCTGCCTTCTTTCCTCAAGAACACAGTCTATTCTGGGGGGTTGCAGGAAAGCTGAAAAAGAAAACGTGAGCTTCCAGAAAAGCGCATCGCCCTTTCTCTGCACGCGACACAGCCTGCGGTTCGCAGTGACGGCTGCACGCTGGGGTCTCCTGGGAAGCGTCTAGTGTTGATTTCCCTCCTAGAGGCTCAGTCAGGTGATCGGGGGGTCAGTGTGTTTTCAGGGTTCCAGCTGCTCTGACTTACAGCTGTGGTTGGAGCCCTGACCTAGGTCCTCGGTCTCAGAAGTCAAGGATGTAAGTCTATTAGGACTGAGCGTTGAATGGTCTCGATGGTGAAGGACCTTGCTCTGCCCACTGAGCTCCCTCATGCCTGCAATTTAAATACCGAGGTGTGTTCTGAGCGCGCCAGGTCCTTGGGGCACGGGCCTCCAGGGTCCTGTAAGGTGGACTCTAGCCTCGAAGGGGGGCCCAGGTCTGAGGGGTCCAGCTCTGGCAGGGGGTGTCTAAGCCATGTCCAAATGGTGGACAGTAGCTCCAACAGTGACACGACAGAGGGAGGGCCTGTGTGTGGCACGTGTGGTGTGTGTGTGTGCTGTGTGTGCACGCACACGCATGTATACGGTGTGTGTAGAACTGACACGCGTGAAGTCCCTGTCCCGTGACCCACCCTCAGGTACTTGCTGTTGGGTTTTCCTGTGATTTTGATGTGTCCTGACCCAGCATATGGACACCCTCCCCTTAGAGAGCCCTGCCTGCAAACCCCGCCTGATACCACACACGCCTACGTCCTGCAGGCTTCTAGTGACCCTTGGAAGCCGGGTGAGGCTGGTCCCAGTCTCTGTGCAGGCCTTGGCCAGGTCTCCACAGCCAGCTCCTCCCAAGCAGTGGCCCTGGCCCTGCCCCAGCCTCCTCAGAACAGGGCGTGACCACTGCAGACGAGACTGCCCCTAACCTGTGTCTTTGTATCCCCAGAAGACACCCGCTGCAGACCCCCAGCCCAGCCTGCTCTGCGGCCCCCTGCAGCTGTCAGACAGCGGGGAGACCTGGAGCGAGGTGTGGGCCGCCATCCCCACGTCGGATCCCCAGGTGCTGCACCTGCAGGGAGGCAGCCAGGTACGTGTCCCCACGCCCCCAGGCCCTTGGGCCAGCAGCCCAGAGCCTCAGGCCTGAGGCTCCCACAGCAAGCCTGTGCCACCAGCTGGGGCCCACCTGCTTAAGCAGTGTCACCTGGGGCCTCAGTTTCCCCAGCAGCGCAGGATTCCCTCTGCTCCCCAGTCACAGGAGACAGAACCTACTGGCACCTGGGTGGACCCCAGAGCCAGCCAGGGTGCAAGGAGGGGTGGGCCAAGGGGGCACAAAGGGTGGCCAGGAGCCACAGAACCTGTCAGGTGAGACTCAGGAACCCACACAGCCCTGGCCTGGCCCCTTGGAGCCCCAGTTGCTGCTCTGTCACAGGGACTGGCCTGTCCTGCCTCGCCTCCCCAGGGGCCAGACAGCCCAAAGGAGGCCATGGAGTCTGGGGGTCTGGTGAGGGGGGCAAGGCATCCCCTCCCCTATATCCTCCCTCGGGGAGAACCAGTGGGTCCCCCCAACTGTCCTCCTGTTGACAAAGGCAGTGCAGGCACAGCCACCAGGCCCCTCGGGCTCAGCACCTGCCTTGTGTTGCAAGGGTCTGGGAGTGGCTTCCTGGGAGAGGCCCCTGTCACTGAGGTGAGCCCGAGGCCGGGAAGCTGAGGCACCGCTGACCATCTGCTCCTCTGCTGCAGGACGGCCGGCTGCCCCGCACCATCCCTCTCCCCGGCTGCAAACTGAGTGTGCCGGACCCTGAGGAGAGGCTGGACTCCGGGCATGTGTGGAAGCTGCAGTGGGCCAAGCAATCCTGGTACCTGAGCGCCCCCTCCGCAGAGCTGCAGCAGCGATGGCTGGAGACCCTGAGCACTGCTGCCCGTGGGGACACGGCCCAGGACAGCCCGGGGACCCTGCAGCCTCCGGTCCCTATGGGCACAGCTGCTCCGTGAGCTGAGTCTCCCGCTGCCCTGCACTCCACCACATCGGGCCTGTGCTCTCCTGGGAGGTGGCGTCAGAGGCCAGATGAAGAGCGCCCTGGACTGCTGAGGGTGGGCCAACAGCCCAGAGCTCAGGACACTTGGCTTTGGAGGGAAGGAAACTGAGGCCCAGAGAGGGGCAGCCACTGGCCAACGGTCACCCAGCAAGTCTTGGTTAAGAGCCTGGCCTCCAGCCCCAGCAGTGTGGCCCAGAGCAGGGGCCGACTGCCACAGTAACCATCATCCATACGGGTCGTGTGGTGATGCTGGCCCAGAAGGCAGAAGGATGCAGCATGGGCACTGCCAGGGACAGCCACATCCGGCCGGTCTGCAGTGTGGTCCACCCCCGCCTCTGCCCAGCCTGTCTACACCGTGTGAGCTGAATCATGACTCGCTTCCCACCTCCCTTCTCTGTCCTCTCCTGAGGTCCTGCCTCCAGCCCCCAGGAGGTGGACCTGCCGCGTCCTAGCTGGACTCACGGTTCCTAAATAACTGCACTCGGAAGCTCTGCTGGGACTTACCCCAGCCACTGAGTGGCAGACGCATGAGATTTGTGGCTGTTCCTGATGCTGGTGGCACACAGTGCTTATCTGCATAAATAAACACTGGCCACCGGCAGTGGCGCAGCCTCAGTGCTCTCTCCTGAGCCCCTCAGCGGGGTCCCCCCACAAGGTGGGCTGACTGATAAAAGGTTGAGGGATAAGGGTGATGGAACCGCACACCGCCTGGAGAGCAGTTCTGCATCTGTTGTCCTGCCCAGGGTGGGCAGATGGCAGGTGAAGATGGCCAGGCTCAGAGATGGGGACGGTGGGGTGCAGGGCACTCGAGATGGTGCCAGTGGGGACCTTGCAGAGGCCACTGGGGTGCGGGTGCTCTTTGCACCAGAGCCCCAAGGGCCTCCGGGAGAGAGTGGAGGAATTTAGGGACCAGTGATGGGGGATGCTCACTGGTCAGGACCCCCACTCCTCTAATATCCATATAGCACCATGTGGAGACACCTAGGAAGACATGGAGGGCACCTACCGGGGGCTGAGAGGGCAGGGGGAGGAGCCAGAAATGGGAGACTGATCCCAGGTGGGGGGCAGGTGAGCTGGGAACACGGGTTGGGGGGACAGCTGAGATGGGGGCACAGGTGAGTGGGGGACAGCTGAGATGGGGGCACAGGTGAGTGGGGGACAGCTGAGATGGCACAGGTGAGTGGGGGCACAGGTGAGTGGGGGACAGCTGAGATGGGGGCACAGGTGAGGGCGAGGGTGAGCTCCCACGAGCTCTAGCTGGGCCGTGCTTGGATGCTGCAGCCACTGCACACGGAGCCCCTGCTGGCTACCCGGGCCTCTGCCACTGCTTCCCACACTGTGCTGGATGTTCTAGTCCCACTTCACACGGAGGAAACTGAGGCTCAGGCATGCTAAACAACGTGCATGCTTCCACACTGGACAGTGCCCGCCGGGGGAGACAGGATCAGACCTTTCTAGCTGCACAGAGGTGCCCCGACCGGCTCCAGCTGCTGCTTAAGGAAGCAGCAAAGCCCCTCACCCAGCTAGGGACAGGGGTGGAGGAGGCCTCAAGGGGACCCCAGCCGCTGGCCCTGCCTTCTGCCCTGCAGATCTGAGCTCTGACCCACATTCATCCCCTACGGAGCAGTGGCGGAGCCGCTCCCTCACACACATCTACTGAGCATCCGCGGCAGCCCTCATGAGGCCCTTCTTTGAAGGGTCAGGACTCCGTCCTCTGCCTGCTCCAGTAGTTCCATTTCTGCCATCTCACCGCAGCCCCAGGAAATCCCCACTTGACAGCTGAGGAAACTGAGTCAGAGAGAGGACACCCCCAGAGCCCCACAGCTCTGGCACTGAGCAGGCACCTGGAATTGGCCTGTCGGGCATGGTGAATCCAGCAGGGCAGGGGTCTTCTGGGGCCGAAGACTGTGCTGTGGGGGTCGCCATGGTGAGTCCCCTAGCCTCAAGCCCTCTGTCTTGCACTCACCAGTCTGGCTAGTCCGCTGGGAGGCAGGGACAAGGTGCGTCACCGCAGGTCTGGGGCAGGGCGTGCCCCCGGACTCTGCCACCTGCTGCGAGGCCCGTCCTGCTGGGAGCTTGTTTGCTCTCATACTGGTGGCTGTAGGCTGTTGTTCCCACTTTTTCCAAAAGAGGAAGCTGAGGCTCAGACAGGGGCAGTGAGAGGCCTCCGGCATGCAGAGCCTACGTGCTGCGCCCTTACAGATCCGGCCTTCCTAGGGTCTGTCCTCAGAGACCCCTCCTGTGGGACACCCCACCAAAGATGCTGCTGGGGAGCTGGCTGCCACGGGGGCCTCCACACCGGGGCGTCGGTGCTGCCTGGGCCTGGCCTCTCGCCACACACTGCCCCACCCCCCGTTCCGGCCCTCCCACCCCACAGTCCAGGGCTTGGGCACACTCCACTGCCCATTAATGGAGTGGCGGAGCCTGGATGCATGCTGGACGCACGCTGGCTTTTGGCCTCTTTACCATCTTCCCTGCCCTTTCTCCCCAAGGCCACCGCCTCCGGAGGCTAGGAGACCACCCCCTGGGCTGGGGGAAGGGATGCCTGGGGCTGAGTGGGAGGTAGCTCCTGGTGTCTCCGGCCTGAAGAACATGGAACGGGGCAGCACAGAGTCTGGGGAATTCATCACCACAGGAGTCAGGGAGGGACTGGGCTGGGGGCCCTTCCGAGGCTCCCCCGCACCCTAGCCTGCAGGATGGGGGCTCCTGGTACCAGCCCAAGGGCTATGGTTGGAGCACAGTGGACACCAGAGCTGAAAGGCTTGCACAGGAGCAAGCGGTGGTGGGCGGTGAGAGGAAACCAGGACAGAGGGGAAGGAGTGTGCTTCTGCCATGGGCAGGTTCCCCACCCGGCACACGCCACCTTACTAGGCCCAGAGCAGGGTGCTGGCTGCAGCCTGGCAGTCCTGGGGAAGATGAATGAGCTTCCAGGAGGGCCTGCTGCAAGCCCAGTGCTCCGCAGCTGCCTGAGAGGAGGATGATGACTGAGAAGGCGTTTTGGCAGCAGTGAAACTGAGACCCAGAGAGGGAAGTGCACGTTCCCAAGGTCACGCATGAGTTAGGGGCTGTCTAGGATTCCCTCATTCATTTTTTTTTTTTTTAGATGGAGTCTCGCTCTGTCACCCAGGCTTGGAGTGCAGTGGTGCGATCTCAGCTCACTGCACCCTCCGCCTCAGCCTCCCCAGTAATTGGGATTACAGGTGCACACCACCACACTTAGCTAATTTTCGTATTCTTAGTAGGGATGGGGTTTCACCATGTTGGCCAGGCTGGTCTGGAATTCCTGACCTCAGGGGATCTACCCGCCTCGGCCTCCCAAATTGCTGGGATTACAGGCATGAGCCACTGCATCCGGCCCCTAATTTACTTTTCTTCCATTTGCTCATGCACCAGGTACTGCTAGCAGACTCTTTGGGGGCTCAGCCTGGGCCACCACACAGGGGAGGCGGGCCTCCTGAGTGCCCTGTCCCATAGGGAAGTGCACTGAGCATCATTTGGACTTCTGGGATAGGGGACCAAACACCACCTGTAGCCCCAGGCACAGTTACACTTTCAGCCCCATCACCAGGCTGCAGCTACCTGGCCTTCAGAACCACCAGCCTCCTTTCCTCCTGGGGCCTTGGCACATGCTGTTCCCTGGGCCTGGGGGCTCCTCCTGCAGGGCTTCGTGGGCCACCTCCTCAACACTCACTGTGCTCAGACACCGCCTCCGCAGACAGCCCTCCAGCCTCTCCACTTGTTTGTTTAGCCATTTGCTCTCTGGTTTAACCTCTCTTTTCCCATGTAGATTAGAAGCTCCAAGAGGGCAGGAAGCAGCCCCTCTAGCAGTGCCTGGCCCACAGCAGGTGCTCAGTGAATACCTGTCCATAGCCTTGGAAAGGCTCAGTAACTCCTGCCTTGCCATAGGGGCCCTGAGCACTTTGGGTCTGGGATCCTCATTTTATAGATGGGAAAGTAGAGGCTGTCTGAGGTCATAAAGCCCAGTGCTCGCCTGCCTCACTCACCGTCCTGGGTCTCGGGGACATCAGAGTCAGCTCCTTCTCAGATGGTTGGTCCTGTTGTAAACACGGGCACACTAAGACCCAAACAAGCATCCATGTCCCCAGGACATGGGCAGAGGGAGACTGGGATGCAGGTCAGTCCAATTCCCGCTGTGCCTGCCTCCCACCATCCCACGGAGGCAGCAGGATCCGCAGCAGGACAGCACCTCTGAAAAGCCACTGGCCCCCACAAGCCCCAGCCTAAGAGGGCGGCTTACCCCAGGGGCCAGAGCCCAGGCCTTTGGGTAGTCCCAGCCCTGCCCTCCCTGCAGCCATGGAGGCCTCCAGAACTCTGTCTTATCACCAGCTGCCCCAGGAACATCTCCCACTTTCCAGAATCCAAGCCCCTCTGAGCAGCCAGTTCTGGCACTGAGCATGCAGGAAGAACGGTGGGCTCACCTTCCCTTGGGGCTGCATGCTGTGTTTCTGCCCACAGACTCCCTCTGGATGATCCCTCCAGGGCCATCCAGGGGGAGCTTTGGGCCCAGTGGTTCCTGGGGGCGGCTGCATCATGACCCCACAGCCCATTCCTTCAGGCACCCACCCCAAGACACCCTACTTTCTGGGCCCCAGTAGGCAGGGCCAGTGGTGGTTGGCTCTGAAGCTGAAATACTATGTCCATGCAGGCAGCGCCTGGCACTGGGCAGGTATGGTCCAGGCCCCTCCACCCTTCCCCTCAGGACCTCCCTCTTGCCCCAGGTTGAAGCAGTTATGGTTCCTGAGGGGCACCTGTTGGTCTGCAGCAGCTGGCTGCAACAAGAGGCCAGGCTGCTCCCTGCCCACAACATCATTCACATCGTTACTCTGGATGGAGGATTCCTCCCCATATACTGGGGAGAAAACTGAGGTTGAGGAAAGGGACCCGCTGGAGCCACAGGCTCCGTCTACCTCCAGGGCTCCTCCCGCAGTTCCAGGGGTGTTACATAAAGCTGAAGGTCTGGGTGGGCCAAAAAGGGAGGCAGGGCAGGCCATCGGGGAGCAACCAGGCAGGCACCCCACCTTCTGCACATTCTATCCTGGAAAGCAGCCGCCTGGGCCGCCCGGCCTCGGGGCCTACCCCGCTCTCCTCACACTGCCTTGGTGGATTTATGGGCTCAGTGCCCTGCGCCTAGGTGGGAAGCTCTGACAGAGGCTCCCGCAAGCCTCCGGAAGGCTGCAGCTTAGCCAGGATGACAACGGTGTGGTCGGACAGCAGCCACATGCCATCTCCCAGCTGTCGGGCTCCATGGCCCCTGAATCCCTCATGCACTAAGGCCCCTTCCAGCTGGGCCACAGGAGGTGCAGGCCTTAGTGCTGCCTTGGACATGAATGTTCCCGGGGTCCCTGACGGCAGCAGCCTGCCCACTTCCACGCTTCTGTCCTTGCTCCCTTGGGCTTCCTCCCACCCTGTTGAGGGATGCCCAGCACTGGCCCCAGGCTGGACTCAGCCCTTCCTGTCTAGCCAGGGCGGGGCAAACACAAGGCTGTGCCCTGGAGGCTTGGGGACAGCAATGGGTATCATCACCTAAGAGAGAAAGAGCTGGAGGCTGGGTATGTGTCAGCTGAGCCCCGAATTTCTGGAAAG